TGAACAGCTCTGGATACTTCACAAAAAAGGAACTCTAAAAAAGCTTAAATTGCTGCAGATACAGAATAATCAAACCACTTGATATTTAATTCCCACATCCTGGCAGACAGGAAACATGCAAAGAACGTAGTTAAAGGCTATCCAGCAGGCAAACCAAGCAGGGCACCACAGTGTCTCTCACTCACTATCCCTTGCTGAGGGAGGAGCTGAACTGTAAGCCCAGCCCAAACATCACACATGAAAAGAGCTGCTGTATCTCTGTTTCATGTTACCACCACCAGCACCTCAAACCTTGTGTGCAGCAGGGCTTGCCTGTGCCCCATATGCACTTCTCCCAGGACAGCAGGACTAGCAGAAAGTATCCTCCCACACAGCAGCAATGGCATTTAGTACATACCAGACTTTGGCTTTTGTTTTGCAGGTGGCTTTTCATCACCTGAGCTGTCAGATGAGTCCTCGCTACTGGAACTTTCCTTGGCACGTTTGTTTTTCCCTGGACATGCTTTAGTGGCTGCAGGTTTCGGCAGAGGTGATTTCTTGGGAACAATCTTATCATAAGAAATAAACATTTAAAAAAAGGAAGTTGCAGACATCTTGTGAGTGCAGCTGGATGTGGATTTTGTTTAACTCCACACCTCACTTAAGAGAGCAAATTCTGAAGACAAAGGGAGAGAGATTAATAAATATTCTCAAATACAAATTTTAGGAAACACATGGGCATTATTATCTCTCTGGCCATTCTTCTACTGTTTTCTGCTGCATGAACCCCTAATCAGGATCTGCTCTTGACAAAGGGGCTCTGAACTCACTGAAATGGTAGCAACTACCGCATGATTATTTTTGTGTTGAAGAAAACATTTTTAAATACTCCTTAGTGGAAAACTCAAAGTTACAGTCAGCTAAGCACAAAAAAGTCATACCAAAGTGAATATATAATGGAGAATACAATATAGTTATAACACAATGAGATGTTTTCCTGTTAAAGGATGGAACAAAAAAAGCAGTAAGGAGCTAGCAGGGAAGAATGCAGTGCATGGAGCAGTAGAGGTATGCACAGAACACATAATCCCACTGTATAAAGGAGATGGAGATGTAAGAAGTATGCAAGCACAGCATCTATATAGTTTGTGCTTGCAAGATGATACATTCAGTCTTACTAGACTTCTACAGTGTTCATAAAGTTTTTCATGGTCTAATTTACCTTTTTTGGTGCAGCCTTTTCCTCATCAGAATCTTCACTACTGCTGCTACTGCTTGCTGCTTTTCCATTGACAACCTTGGTAGCTGCCTGGGCAGCTTTACTTCCTTTTGAGAGAGGTACAAAGGAATATTACAAAACATGCCATGGCAGATGAAGGATAACTACATTGAGCAGAAAGTATCACAGAGAGAAAAGAACCACAGGAAGCCAACAGGGCAGATTAAGGTAGTACTGCAAAACTGTTGGTTTATCCTACTGCAAGCTTAGAGAACTGTCTGTTCTAGCTGATGGGACATTCCAGGACTAAAGGCTAAGTAAAGATCTTCCCTGCTTTTTCAAGGGAAGACACTGGAAAAAGCAAAACTTCAGCAGTTAAGGCTGCTGACTACCATCACCTATTCAAACAATGAAGCATTCAGGACCAGATGTTTTATTTGCAATCAGTGCTACCTCTTTTCCATGTCAGAAGCAGACTGGACTGGAGTGCAAATGGCAGTGACAGCAGATTTTCAGACTGCTATGTTAATAAATATGTCTTTGCATGTGGGTACAGTCCCCAGCACTCCTCCCCTGGCTTTTCTGGTTTTGCTTTATCACTTTGACATGTGATACACAGTAAGAGGTACCCGATTTAGGTGTTGCTAGTTTTGGTGGCTGTTTCTTTGGTGCGTCTTCATCTGAGCTGCTTGAGTCAGAGCTGGAACTCTCTGCTTTCTTCTGAGGCTGGATTTTGGTTCCAGCTGGTTTCACCACAGATTTTGCACCTTTCTAAACAACAGGAAAAAAAAAACTGATTAGCCTTCATAGTCATGAAAAGAAAATGAGGCTAATAAGTGGGACATGTATAAACACCTATCTTTCAAAGAGGTTACCATTTTGATTTGAAAACACCACTCTGCCAAATGGCAAAAGTCCGAAAATCTCTGTATAACAATTCTGCTCTGGAAAACCTCCCAGAAACCCATGGGAAGCTTCCTTTGCACCTCAGTTTTGAGTTCTGCCTCCTCAAAATGAGGCAGATCTGAGGCTGGCACCTTCTTCCTTCTACAGATCACACCAGTCTGAAGACTGAAAATACTGAACTGGGCAACTCTGGTCAGTGTCCTCTGGTGTATACTAACATCATTCTTCCTCCCCTCAACTTTTCAAGACCACGACTGCAGCAAGAAAAAGGAAAGAGAAGATTCTCATTCTATATAAACACATATATATAGAAAAAGATCAAATTTATTGTAGCAACTGCAAATAAATCTTTCTCTGCAAAAAAGTGAGCCCTAGCAGTCTTAGGATAAAAGCAAGGAGCAGACTTGGATATATGAAACAAAGTGGGTTCTGGACAAGAAATTAATTTTTCCTGAGACCAGTCCAAATGGCACAATGTCCATTACAGAAATGTCTTGCATTGCACCCTGCTGCAGCCTAGGCACTTCACAGTTCAGGAGAAGTGAGCCTAATTTCAGAGAGAATTCTGTTGGTCAAATTTGCTATTATTTATCACTGTCAAATATGCATAAAAGAGGCTGGAAAGAAAAACAAACCTTTGTTGGCTTCTCCTCCTCCTCTGAGTCTGAATCATCACTGGAGTCCTCAGTGCTGCTCTCTGCCTTCTTGGTTGGAGGAACTGCTTTTGCTTTGGGAACAGCTGCTGCTTTAGCTGCAAATATGGGACAGCACAAACTGATGAAAAGTTAATTCACAATTTGCATGTACCTATATCCTGCACTAGTGGGTATCAGGGTAAAGGATACATGAAAGTCGTTAAACCATGACTGAAGTTCGCAACGCTGACTTTATTTCTTGAGCAGCATGTCGCAAACTACTCCAAAATGAATAAGCAAGAGGATAGAACCAATTCTAGATTTTATCTTTGTCACATACACATTTAATTGCAGACTTCTATCACCAAAAAGGAGAGCCCAAAAAGAAAGATCCCCCCAAACTGAGATAACATTAACTGGGTCTGCACACATTTCAGTTTAAAGAAATCTGCTGAACAAGCACAGACTTGTGCTTGCAAAAGAGAGCCACTCTCTGTGGTTAAAGTCCCAGACACTAGAATGTGTTTTAGCCAAATCTACTTCCTGGTTACTGATTGCTTTTTAATAATGTGGAATAAAAGGAATCATTCATCATGGCTCACACTATGTTTGCAAGTGTCCTTATCAAACAAAAATCAGATCCAAGTTCAAATTCAGCTTTAGGATGGTTTGAGTTGAAGACCAGTTTTCTTTCTGTCTCTCCCTCTCCCTATTTAGTCCTTATCCCCTGCAAATTTCCTGCTAGATACACACATCTTGCATACAGTGTAACTCAGGGAAGACATAAGAACAATTCCAGGTAAAAGGGAAAAATGCAGCTCACCACATACCAGAATGCAATGGAGAGATGTATTTTTTGACAGAAACTCTCACAAGCTTGAGAGTTAAAAAAGGATAGTAACCTCCCACAAGCAGCAGGTGAATAAGGATGCCTGGCATTTCTCTGGAATTCAAGCATACCCTGTGCAACTGGTCTGCAACTAACAGGTCATGGTGTCCACCAATATAGAGGACACTGATAAACCTAAATAAATCCTAGCCACGAAGGAATTTTGTCAAATTATGAGTATTTTAACAAATGTACAAGCATTTGTAAAACCTGAACTGATTTTCCTACAAAATCAACATGAAAAATCATTCTTTGAAGATCTTAGTAAGAGAGTTCCTGAAAAATAACATGGAAAAAACACCATAAGGTAGCTTCCTCCCAGTACCTGCCCAATCTGCATACTCTCAAATCCCAATTTCACCCAATATTTAAAGCAACACATAATCTGAAGGTGCCAAAGCAAGTAGGTATAATCCTGCTGAGATATCCTAGTGAGTGTTTGGAAAGCAGAACTCCAGTCTAGACGAGGTAATGAAGGTGCTACTTAACAGCACCTTCAAACTCAGTACAGTCCAATGCCTTCCCTAGGCTCAGCCTAAGGAGACAAAATGAATGGCTAACACCTTCTAGGGGACACAAACTCTGATGTGTCTAAATTATAAGAAGATAAAAAGACCACCTGTAGTTAGGATGAACATATCTTACATGTCATGGGCAAAACCGAGATCAGTCAACACAAGCCCTGATGGCTGCTGTAGGACCTCAAAAGAGCTGCTGACGCTCGACTCTACATGCAGGGGAGGAGAAAACATCAAACACAACCCCAGCCTACTCCAGGGCCGCTCACAAACCCCACCTGGCTTCTTGGCCGGGGGCTTCTCGTCCTCCTCGCTGGAGCTGCTGGAGGACGGCTTCCTCTTCGCCTGGCCGCCGTTCGGGACCAGCTTTGCCTTCTTGGCCGCCGGAGACCTGCGGGCAGAGAGGCTGAGCGGGGCCCTGCGGCGGAGGGAGCCCTGCGGGGCACCCGCGCAGCCCCGGCCCGGGGGGGCGAGCGCGGCCCTGCGGTGCGCGGGGGAAGGGGAGAGGGCACTTACCGCAGCCAGTAGGTGAAGATGTCCAGGAGGGAGGCCGCGTTCGGGTCCTGCTCCTTCTAAATCGAGACAGGCCGCGTCAGTGAGCGCGCCCCCGACCCCATCCCGCCGCTCTCCCGTTCCCGCTCCCGCTCCCCGCTCACCGCCGCCGCCTCCCTGGCGAAGGCGCGCGCGGCGCCCTGGCAGCCGCTCTCGCGCAGGAAGGCGAGCACGAGCGGGAACAGGTCGCTCGGCACCGCGCGCCGCTCCGCCATCATGCACTGGGACACGTGCCGTCTGCGCGCGCGCCCCCACCTGCCCGCGCGCCTGCGTGCGCGCGCGCCGTCACGCCGCGGCCCCGGCCCCGCCCCGCCGCCATGTTTCCGGGCAGCACCGCCTCGGGGCGCGGCACAGCGGCATCGGGGCAGGGAGAGAGAAAAAGACCTCTTTCGTGTCGGCGCCTGCTTCCACGTAGTGCGGGACGGCTGCCCAGGGTGCAGAAGCAGGAGAGGAGGGTCTGGGAACCCGGGAGCGCCCACACGGCACTGGAAGACTTAAGTCCACCCAAGCCCGATCAGCCTACTTGTAATCCACTTTAAACGCCGTCACTGAAAGGAGAATGCTAGGGAGCAGGAGTAAGGAGCTCGGAGGGTCCTGGGGAGCAGGAGTAAGGCTGCTCCAGGGAGGAGAACAAGCTGGCTGTGGGAAGCCGTACTGGCAGAGCCCTCACCGACGCGTCGCAGCCCCACGTGGGTGGCACACGGAAGACAGAGCTGGCTACTGATAACGAGATTAATCGGTAGTCTCAGGAAAAGTGAGCTATGGTTCCGAGAGCAATAATTCTCCATTTTTCAGTAATTTTACACGGGTGTTTGCAGTGTAAGTTTCTGTAAGGGTAACTGCGAAAAAAGCAAGTTTATGAATGTTTTATTTAAAGTAGTGGTAACGTGAGTATCCAGTTTTTGATAAGAGGTGCTGAACAAAGACGCTCTATAACCGGCTGTTAATACGCTGCTCAGCGGACAAGTCCAAGTGAAGTTCAAGTTCCAAACGACCACCAGAGACCCCTAGCGACCAAACAAGGCCTTCCGAACAACTTAGAACTAATTAACATATGTCTGAACTTTATGAGAGAAGTAGTGAATAAGTAAAACATTTGATGAATATGTAAAATTGTAAGTAAATATTAGCTGTGCTGACCGAAAAACAGGACACACACAAGATTAGAGGAGCTATCCTCCGTGTGTGTCCCATGCTGATGATAAAGGATACCTGCTTCCTAATGCTCACAAATTGAGTCTTAGGGGTTTCTTGTTTGCCACTTTACCGTAACAAACCAGGTCTGGGACACCAGAATGAATCCATACAGGAACAAGGGGAAATGGTGCTAGAAGAAAGACTATGGTAAAAGTAACACTATGGTCCTAAAGTGACAACCTATAAGAGAGAGACAGAGAGGGAATGTGAGATAAGGCTGTTTACAATAAAGGCTTGAAGAGCTTCAAAGAGGCAAGGTTGGAAACAGGGCATGAAACAGGTATTCCTTGAGCAAACACTGAAGACCAGGTCTGAGCTTAAATGGAGCTTCTGGGCGTATGGGCAAAAGGTGGCTGTGGCTTTAAGTTAGTCTTTTCTCCAGGGAAGTTTTTTTTCTGTAAAACCGAAGGTTTGCTCTGATGGTGTAGCTCTCTGTTCTCCTTGTCTTTGTGATTAAGTTTTTCTTGATTCTCTTTGATAGAATGTGCTATAAAACTTGCTGGGGGCAAAGGAAGAAGAGAGTCCTGTGCTGAAAGTTTTGATTTAGGGCTGCTAAGGTAAAAAAAGAGCAGTAGTAAGTAGGTAGCATTATGCTTTTTACATTTCCCCTACCTAGTGTTCTGCACTTCACGATCTCCAAAGATTGCTGTTCCTGCTGTGTTGGTGTTCTGTCCCTCTCCTAGTGCCTGACGAACACACACACTTGGGTGGGGCTCTGTGCTCAGCAAAGCATTCCTGTTGCTGGTGTCTCTGGAAAGTGCCACGTTTGCACTCATGGGGAAGTAAAAGTCAGCTCTTGTAGTGGTATTTTATACTGTAAGATCCTGTAATTTTGTACAGGTGCTGTAACCTGTGGTGTAGAAAAAGGACATTCAGCTGAGAGTTGGTTAAATGTGCGTACTTGTTTTCAGATGTTTCTGACCTGACCTGCCCCTGTTCTGTATGGAATAACATGAGGCTGTGTTGCAGAAAGGAAACCGTTTCCAGGAACTAATATTTCTCTTAGTTTTTGTAATTTCCATCTACAGTAAGCTACAGCTGCAAGCTTCATCTGCAAAGCTCAGCAAACTTGTGCTTTTGTCTGCATCAGAAAGGAAGACATGCAGCCATTGCTGGTAAACTGTCCTTATTTTAAGTCCTGCTGTCTGAAGTAACTGGTGTTACTAACCAGATGAGAAGCACAGGGAGTCAGTGAAGCAAACAGTCAGTAACTTCCCTGGTTCCTATCTCCCTTTCCTGCCTGGCCTTTGCAAGTAAGGTCTGTTCCCTGTGCTGTGTGGCAGCTTCTCTTCAGAGGTGTGTGTCTGTCTAGGTGTGTTCCCCTGTGTTGTGCCTGCAGCTGTTCAGATGACCTGGAAGGGAAAGCTGTTTTATTCTTGAATTCCCCAGGGCAGTAGTGGGAGATTCTGGGATCTAAAAAGCAAGCAAATCTGACTGATGCTATTGCTTGTGAATTCCTTTGCTCTACTCACCTATTCCTCATAGGTCTTTTCAGTCTTCCCCTTGGCTGCCATATCTCTTTTGTTAAGGCTGCAGGGACACTTATTCATCTTGGAAGAGAACATTTTCATGAGAAGTCTCTGCTCTTCTTATTTTTTTTGTGGCCAAGAAAAAGTGAAGAAGAGATAGCATGGGTATTCAAACACTTACTGAATCCTTTTGTTGTTACCCCTCATAAGTACCTGGCAAAAAAGCAATGTCTTTAGAAAAAGCAGTCTAGTCCTTTTCTTTGGACAGGGATAAGAGAGACTCTTGAGAATAATGCTGCAAATGCAGCTGTGGTTATATGCTGCAGTGATTTGAAGCAAGGAAAGAATTGCACAGTCAATTTTGGGCCAGGGAGGATGAAAAGCTCCCTCTGTTTCCTCCTTTTTTTTCCCTCTAATCCATTTGGAGCTGTGTAACTGTCCCTTAGCCCAGCCTAATGTTCTAGGGTGTGAAGGGGCTTTTGCCTTGATTTATCATCTGAGTTTTTAGGTGGAGGTTGCTGAAACAACATGCTGGCAGTTACTTAACTGCCTCATTTGTGGAGACACATTAATTTGACTTTAGAGACTTGGGAAATTTAAAGAGGTTTCCTGTGGGCTTGCATTGGTTAAATAAAATGCATAGCATCCTAAGTGACACTTATACATATGGATATGCTCCATGGGTTCCCACAAAGCAGGAAGGTAACTCTGCCAGCCCTTCATGTGATACTGCAAGACTTTAAAGAGAGAAAGAATTTAAAAGCTCGTTTCATAAGATCATGTTGAAATCCTCATCTAACATCAGAGAGATGATTTTCTTTTTAACTTTTTATATTGGAAGTTAGAAGATAAACAGCTTTACAAGTCAAACAATGTGGAACAGTTATGAAGTCATACATGTGGTTATCCATCTGTTTCAATAGTTTTTAATATATGTTTACTATTCCATAATACTGAATTAATTTGGCTAGAGACTCTAGTTTCCTTTAGTTAACTTTTGTCCTTCAGATAAATCCCAAGTAGGTTCTGCATTAGCAAGTTTCTCCAGTGCCCATGTGTTCTTTATTCTCGTGTGTGTTTTTAGGATGATTCAGATGGGAAAGTTATGGTTTCTTCTTTGCATACTTGAAGTTTCTCGTAAGGCTGTGCTCAGAAAGTGCTTTCTGTCCTAGTATTTCCTTATTGTGAGAGCAAACACTGATTTTGGAAGACAGGCTGTGGCACACAGTTCGTAAGCTTAAAATGGGTTTTGAGTAAAGAATGATTTGGAGGTAACAAGAGAGTTTGACCAACTTCTAAGAGTTGATTAGTAGAAGAGTTCGTTCCTTTCTGCTCGTAGCCAGCTCAGTTCTGACACTGGTGTTGGTGGCACTAAGCTGCATTCAGGATGTCCATCTGACTGCTTGGGAATGACTGCCTTGACTGGGAAAACAGATTATAAGGAGTCTGCTTTTGCTGTGCTAAGTGCATCAGTGGTGCTTGGCAAAGAAATGTTTCTGAATCCAGATCAGTGCAAGTGTTTTTTCTAAGTTTGCAAAGGAATAGGCAGAATTTGTGCTTTGCCTCCAGCAACAAAATTAATAAATTGAATCTTGCTTTCTGAACTCTAACAGTGTCCTTCCACTGCTTATTTTCTATGTACTCAAACATGAGCATAGTCATACGGAATCTGGTAAATCTAATTTGAAAGACAGCATCTTCTAGATGAAAACCCATGACATCAAGCTGCTTCATTCTACATGGAACAACTTGCTTTTCCCCTAGGAGTTTTCCTTGCTCATTAGAGACGGAAGTCAAAACCTAAGTTAGCGGTATGCATAAAGCAGGTTTGGCTTGTTCTCTTCCACAACTCTTTCTCCCAGTTTCTCGTGACTAAGGATACGGAGTTTCTGTATCACCGTAACACGTAACTTTTCCTCGTTTTAGCGCTGTTTCCTCGGTGTCCTATGGAGAATGTGCCTGGAGCCAGCTGGAAAAGGCAGTTTCTTTCCCTGCTTGGGGAAGAGTCCCACCGAGTCCCGGGAAGGCGACGCGCGGCGGGGCGGGAGCCGCCCGTGCCCGGCTCCGCAGGGGGCGCCCCCGGCGCGGCGGGCGGGCGGGAGGCGGGGCCGGGAGGAGCGCGGGGCCGGGCCGAGCCCCCTGCGAGCGGGGGGCGAGGACGCGGCACCGGGGTGGACGCTCCGCGCCGCTCCGCCGGCGATGTGAGGGAAGGGAAGCAGCTCTTTCCCCGCCAGCCCCGGACCATGGCGGCCCCCGGTAGGTGCCGCGGCTGTCGCCCTGGGAGCCGGGCGGAGCGGCGGGGCTCGTCCGCCCGGTCCTGCCGCGCTGCCCGCGCTGTGCCCGCCGTGCCCCGGCGGGCCGGGGCTCCCCGCGGCCGTGCGGTGCGGTGCGGTCCGGGAGCGGCTGTTCCCGCTCGGTGCCGGTACTTGGGGCGTAGCGGAGCCCTGCCCGCTCCCACCGGCGGGGCGGAGCTGCTGCGCGGCTCTGCGCGCCCCGGGCGCCCCGCTGCTGGGGAGAGGGGAAGGAGGGTCCGCTCCCCGAGGTCAGGGGAACCCCGGGGCTCTTCGGAGCAACGCTGGCTCCTTTGTTCGCTGTTTCTTTCTACCTTGCCTTGCTTCACTTGGCTTGAGTTCAGGGCAGGTGCTGGCAGAGCTGTCCTGCGTCTTAAACGCACTTCGGGTTGGCAGATCGGCGAGCTCTAAGGGCGAGTGTTCCGTGGAGGAATCTTTCCCTATCCGTCTTTACTGTTCATATATTTCTCTGTGATGTTTTATAGATAAGTCAGTTCTTCCTAAATACGGCTTTATCCCCCTGCACTGCGCTTCCTTTTGGGGGTATGACTTGGTGCCCCTTGCGATAGTATCTCAGGATCACAAACTGAGCTAGGTTGCCATAATTGAAAATGTTTTAGCTAACATATGTGCAGGCAAAGCTACCTAGAACAGAGTTGTAAACTCAAGGGGACAAGGGGTTTGGCCTGTATTGTGTAAGTCTTGCTAATGACCAGCGTGCAAGTTCCTCTTCTTGCAGGGAAGTGTATGTTTTATCTAAAAAAGGAAAAACGTGCCATTCTCAGGGTGTGAAGTAACATTTGCGTTTCACTGGCGCGTATCTCCGTGTGATGTAAAAATAAACTAAACGGAGGCCTCAGGAGACTTGTGGGCAAAACTACTTTTCTCCTTATAAATGGAAGGTGATTTCACAGAGACTCTTAAAAATAGAACAACTTTAGATTAACATATCATAATGCAAATCTCGTGTTCCTATCGCTGAAGTTTGGTTTGCAGAAATTTTATCTGCTTTGATTCTGCTATTTCCTCTTACTTGTTTGCAGCACTTTATTTAAAGTGAAGGTTTTCTATTCCAGTCAAGGTAAGAAGTCTCACTAGGATGTTAATAATTATTGCATTCCGTCTATGCAAAGAAGGCATTTATTTCCTCATGCATCACTTAAATACACACACTTCAGACACTGAAATGTGAAAGGGGCTGAGGACTTCTCTTAATGGCCCAACACTAATTTCTGTCACCTATTGGAAGTGCTCTCTCTTTTAAAGAATTTTATTATTAAGACACCTTGAGTTGGGTTTTATTTATACCATAGGCGACTGCCTTTCATGAAGAGGGATTTTTATTTTGGACTGCAATATTTGTGTATCTTCCACACATGGGAATCTCAAACCAAACTGGAGCAGGCTACATAATGCTTTTCTTATGTAGTCAGAATCAGAGGTGGCTTTTTTCTAGCAGATGAAAATAGATTTGCTCACCACTGTATGTGATCATCTGAGCTGGAGTAAAGGATTTGTGTCTCAGTGGACAATGAGAAATCATGATCTACTTATGAGAGGTATGTGAAAGATGACACATAAAAGCTGTGTATTATTACAGGCCCTGAATTTTCTTTATGGGACCTACAAGTACAGTTGAAAACTTTATGATCTGTAAATTGAAAAAGGTCAAACCCTTTGGCTTGTGGAATGAAATAGTAGATAATAACAGTTGATATTGTAAGATGTATTCTTATCCAGAGCTGATATGCCAACTTCCTGCAGTATTCTTTATCTATTTCAGTGGTAATCAGAACCTTATGATGTGGCCATAAACCATTATCCCATGTGTACTCTTAACTTGAAGACTGTCACCTTACTACTCTCAGACATAGTTTGAAGATGAGCTTGATTTGTTTGCTTCTCAGAGAGGGGCTATGAAGGCATGACACAGTTTATCACTATAGGATACTTCTATTCTTGCCATGGGCTCCAGTGATTTTTACTGAATTGTTTCATCCTCTTCCATTCTGCATCCAGTTTGTAAGCTAGGGAAAGCTTTGTATTGTGTTCTTTGTCTGTTATTTAGTCTGTGGGCCTTACCCCTCAGTTAGTGGTCTTAGGCATTTGTACAATACTGGCTTGTAATCTCATCACTGTGTTATTATTGCTGTATAATAGAGTGTGCAACTAAGCACTGAAGAGGCAGTTACAGCTGGAAAGGAGTACAAAGGTTATGGCTTATCATTGCAAACTGCAACAGAACTGTGCCTTCATGATTTTCTATGAAATAAATAAGTATGCCCTGCAATATTATTAATAGTGCTGATACTTTGTAAATGGAGGCAAAAGTAATTTTAATACCCTAAGTTTAGGAGTGCAGAAATAAGGTATTGTTAAAATTTAAACTAGATTAGTCTTGAGAGTGTGAAAGATTATTGAGATAGTCAGCTGGCACAAGTCTTTCATCATCATGCTATTTCATATAGTTTTCATATGTTTCTGACTTAATTGAAAACTTCCTTCTGTTTGTTTTTCCAAAACCATCCTGTCGAAAGCATTGTCAAAGCATCTAAGGTCAAGGTTTAAGGAAATAAAATGGTTGGTTTTCACCTGGGCATTTCCCTATTTGTGTACAGTAGGCAGAGTATACATTGTGCTTTGAACTGTGCTCTGTGAATTTTTCTGTAACTGATGTGTGAAGAATTGTGGAAAAAATTGTTTTATGTTCTTCATTACACTCTTCCATGAGGACTGGACAGTAGTTGGTACTGCAAAGGAAGCAATTTGGTTAGACAAATAATAGCAGGATCCAGGAAAATGACTCCTGTGTCATCTTTCCTTTAAAAGAGAATGTTGCAATTGAAGTTATTTCTAGATTTTTGTTTTATTTGAAGCAGTTCCAGTGCTGACTTAAGCTTATTTAGTTCTGCAAGACCCACTTCCAGTATTTTTGCTTATGAACATAGAATGGCTGTAAAGGTGGACTCAGTAGTTTTATTTCTCAGTTCTCCTTTTAGGAGCATTGTTCCTCAGTTTGTCATGTAAGCGTAGAAGGCTGTAGGAATTGAGGTAAGAGGGCCTGAGGAGAGCTGGCACAGCTCTGTTAAGGGGAATGGTGCACCCATAGAGCAGCATTAGTTAGGGAATCAGTACCTTTCCTAAACACTGGGTGAAGTTCCTTGCTGCTGGATGCAAAGGCTGCACTGCTCTGGCAGGGAACTTGCAGTGAGTCTGTCAAGTTTGCATCTTTTGTGTACATATCAAAGAATGGAGGCTTTCTCAGATACTTAGTGCCACTGCAATGCAATGCGTTTTTAAAATCAGTGGCTCCTCCAGCCTGTCTCCAAGCACAGCTGCTTCCTTTCATTGAAGGGCTGGAGAAGGGCCTGTTGACTAACAGGTTTAGTTGTGGAAGCTGTGCACTTTTTGAAGATGAATGACAGCATTAGGTGTTCCATTTTACAGAACATTAAAACGCCTGGGAGGCCACTACTGATTTTCCCAGAGACTGGAGGTGGGACTTCTCCCAGAGAGTGCTGGGGCAGGACTTTAGGAGCCTTGGGCACACCTCAGAGGGTCACTGTGTGGTCTCCCCATCTGTTGAGGTTGGGCTTGGCTGGCCGTGATGCAATGCGTGGGCTCCATTCTCAGTAGACTGTTGTGCTGTCCTTTCCCACTGTACTGCATGTAAATCAGCACATGACTGTGCAAGCAGAAGTCTGTGGAACATCTCCCTTTCTAGAATAACACTTGAATTCTGCTTGGTTTTCTTGTTTTTGCTCATGTGATTCTGTTGTCTTTGTCAGGTGGTGTTCAGCCACCATCGTGATATTTTGTCAATAGTGGTGCACTCACTGGTGTGAAAGCCATCTTTTTTTTCATAGCAGTTCTGCACTCTTAATTTAAAGGTCCCAAGGTTTTGAGTTCTTTTGGCTGCTTTATGAGTTTGCTGGATTCCCTCCTTTGGGAATGCTGTCTCCTACAAGCCTCCATCTGGGGTCAGGAGCTGTATTTGCTCAGAAACGTGCAGCTATCTTAGTGAGTACTGAAGAACTGCACTGCCCATGTTCTCCATAGCTAAGACATCATCCTCTCACTGCTAGAGCCTTCCCATTTATGCAGGTAACCATAACACTGTTTGTTGATCACAGAGCACATCTCCATGCTTTACTTCTCAACTGTATCACTTTTGTTGAACTACAGTTTAAAGCTGCTAATTGTACAGTTTAGGGCTGGGGTCCCTCAGCCTAGACATAATTTCAGCCTTAATTTCTTAATGAAAGTTCTGGAGAAGGTGGTAGAATAAAGTCTTTGGAGGCTATGCAATTTTGGTTGAATTTTTATATGCTCACTGCAAAACTGTCATCTTCAGTTCTGGTAAATTCACTCTGCAGGTCCTCTTTTTGGCATGCCAAATTTTAGGCATTGCCTTTGACTTTAATTAGAAAAATCTGCCTTTGCTTGCTTCTGGATGGACATGGGTTGGAAATGTTGACACTTTTAAAGAGTCAAACTGGAATTAGAAGAAGACAATTTGCTAATAAGATTTGAAATGCTCAGCTCTGAAATCTACCATGGGACTAGAGCTGTAACCTCAAATTTGGGTAAACTTCTTCCCAGGTAAATGAAAAATTAAATTTAGACTTAAAGGTTTTCCTGGGATTAGTGGGAGAGCACTGCATCATGTCCTTCTGGTTCAGTCTGCATCTGCTCTTCTTAGCAAGCTGGTAACAGTTTTAAAAATGCTTTCGTTCCAGAGCACAGAAATGTATGAGTCTGTAGGTAGAAGCTGTCTCTAGAGAATTATGGAAGAACTCAACTTTGGTGACGATATTTTGGGCTGTGTTATGGCCCCACTATTGTATTTATTCTTTCCCTCTGAAGAGAGGGTTTGTCTTGCCAAAACTGTTGGGAAACCTTTGTATGACAGCTCTGGGAGAAGGACTCTAATGCAGGCTTGCAAAATGCCTGAAGGCTGAATGACAGAATTGCTGCTCTGTGAGCACTGGGGCTGGTGTACCCTAAGTTGCATGCATACTTTGCAGGCAGTTTGCTTTCTGCTGCAATGAGAGCAAATGTCTAACACCATGGAAGCCATAGTGACTTCCTGTACGCATGGTGGGACCTCATTTAAATAAAGGACTTTCTTATTTTAGGTGTGTTGTTTAGTATATGCTCCACTTGATCATGTAATTGATCATGTAATGAGGATGGTTGCAGTTGTGTTGCACAGAGCCTCTCCCTGCCTAAAATGATTTAACTTTGTACACCAAGGTGAACTCCCCTTTTCAAGCTAGTTTGTTTTGGAGGTCTGGTTTTTGTGGTTTTTTATTTTCCATCAACATGCTTTAAATCTGTAAATCTCGACATGTAGTTTGCTTCACTTGAAACTACATAGGAAACACTCTTCTTTGTAGGAGAGTCTTTTGAGAATGAGAAAACTACTTAAATTTTGGTGGAGTAGATGCAAGTAGGAGTTCATCCACCCTTAGAATTCCTCTGTTTCTGTGAACACCTCACTTTGGATAGAACTACTGTTCTTTTGAAGTGCTTTGTAGCTTTTGACAGGAATTATAGAGGCAGAACTGTGGGGATTTTGTTGCAAAGCTGTGGGTCAGTTCATGCCTTGAATTTAATCTTTTTTTCTGTGATGATCTTGCCTCTGTACAGGAACCCCTGGAGAATATGATGTGCTGATTGTGTATGCAAGTGACGCTACTGAATGGTGTCAGTACCTCCAGAACCTCTTCCTCTTTACTCGGCACATTCGAAAGCATCGGATTCTGACCTACCAACTGGAAGGCGAGTCTGCCATTTCCCCCCAGGAGCTGGACCTGTTCAGCAGAAGTCGGAGCATCGTCCTTTTGCTTTCTGCAGAGCTCGTGCACAGTTTTTATCTTCCTCACGTCCTGCAGAGCCTTCAGGAAGCTTTATGGCCCCCGTGCAAAGTAGTCAAGCTGTTCTGTGGTGTTACGGACTGTGACGACTATTTGACCTTTTTCAAGGACTGGTCTCAGTGGCAGGAACTCACAAATGATGATGAGCCTGATGCTTACCTTGCAGCTGTCAAGAAGGCTATTTCAGAAGGTAAGATGGTAGCCATGAAGTTGTGCTTTCTGGTCAGGAGTTGGAGGAGGGGATACATTGTTCTTATTTTAACACTGTTAATGTTCTTTGCTGAAATAGAAAACTAAAGCACATTGTGCAACCCTTGTAGACTAGGAATCTTTACACGCGGGTTTTTCTGTGCCTGGTCAATTGGTGCCTAATTCAGAAAAGTTTACCAGTGACTCACAGAGAACTTCTGAAGTTAAGGTTGTCATAGGTGCCTAGTTTTGAAAGCAAATAAGAAATTAAAACTTTACCTTTAGTGCCCTGAAATTTATTGACCCAAATTACTGGAAAAATGTCTTCTATGTATTTAATTCGTGGAAAAGAATTATCTTTGCCTTAAGACTTACTTTTCTGTCATACCAGAACCAAAATAAGGTTGTCTAATATGTATTCTATAGCAGTGGGCCTAAAATCAGAGATGTAACCACATGGTAACAGATCAGCTTGTTACCTATGATGGAAAGGCAGAGATTAATTTGAGAATTGCACTGATGGCCTTAAAAATAATGCAACCAGTCTGAAAGTGATCACCTTGTAACTAGCACAGAAGTATTAACAGCTGGAGATTATAGAAGCCCAATGTACTGAGTTTTAATTGATTCAGAACTTTCTAAAACTCTATAACAGCATGTAGGATTTCTTTCTGTTTCTCTTGAAATGAAGATGGAGAGCTCTGGGGAGTCGTCCTGATCAAGGTGTTTTTATGACATTACCATATGTAGGTTTATAGTATTCTTTGTCAGCCTTAGCAAGATTGGAATCCTGCAGTTGCATCTTGAACTAAGATTTGTTTCTGGCATAAATAAGGCAGTGCAGTCTTCTAGTGTGTCTGGTGTTTTGTGCATAAAGATGCTTTATGCTGGGATAACAAGTGCAATATCCACAATAAAAAATTTATCACTGTAAAATAAATTGTGAAAGTCACAATCTTGGCCGAAATGGTCCCCCTGAAAGAAGATAATTTAGGGATTATACTCAGGTAACCAGATCACAACAGATATTTCTTAGGAAATTTTAAAAATCTGCATAAACTGAAGTTTGCATTTCTCTTTCACACACCTCTAAACCATCTTGGATTCCCAAGCTATGGCCTAGAACTAAAGTAGTCTGGCTCCTTTGCTTTCAGTCTGGAAGAAAACAAAAAACAGTGGCTCAACTTTTATACTCTGAAAAATAAAACTGAACAGAGATTAAATTAGCTTTTCTGTCACTTTCTAGCAAAAGCAAAAGTTTACTTGCTGTTTTTCTCCAAACTTGGAGCATGGCACCAATGTTTTATTGATTTTTAAATATGCTATTCAAAGTTGGGGAGGTTTAAACATCTACTGGATGTGAGTGTTAGTGGTTTTACTTAACATGTCCGAGGACTGTCAGTTACTAGGAGTAAGTTCTCATGTAGTTGAAGAGTGTGTGAGAATACAAAGGGATGTTGATCCTGAAATCTTTTCCCAGAGCCAGCTCTCACCAGTCTCTTCAGGCTCGCTGCATTTTGAGCAGCAATTTAGTGGGCTGCCTGTCAGACATCTGTGTCAAAACTTCTTTAGGGAAAGGCTCTACAGTCTGACTTTTCACAATTGGACGTAGAGTCCTTCTCCAGGGGTGCCATCTGTGCTGCAAATTAGCACGTGCTGAAAAGAACTGTGCTTTAGCTTTACATAAACGGTGTTTTGAAGGGGAGATTGTGCTTTGGATTTTTGTTATTGTTTTACATAACAAAAAAAAATCAGCTTATTTTCTGTTTTCTCACTTTAATAAGCATACATTGATCTCAAACTGACTTCAACGTATCTAGAAAATATTTGACAGTGAGAAAAAAAAAAGATAAAACCAAACTCATTTGCTGTCGAATCTACTGTAGCATGTTCCAGATAGTTTGGTACACAAAGATTCAGAATTTCTGGACTTCTGTTACTGTTATGAGAGTCCTACCTGATGAGAGCTGTCACCTGCCTGCACCGTGCACAACAGAGCAGTTGCAAAGGCAAACCATCTGGTCTCATGCTGACTCTTGTGAAGGAAGAACCTAATTAAGATGGACTACTTTCATGGCCAAAATATTTGGATGAATGTATCAGATCCTACTTCTGTATGGGGAAAAAAATGACTCTGTGACCTCTTCCATTATATGATTCTACAGACCACGTTTTGTGAATGGCCTCAAATGCAAATGTTTTGATGTTTCCTCTGAGGAGAAGTCAGCCCCAGGTGTACATAGTTCCCTTTTTGGGTGAAACTGTGAAAACTTTCTTCTTGTTTGGTAATAAAAAAAAAATCTGCCTTTCAGTTTGGTTGCAGCCAGCCCCAGCATGAGTGACTTAAGGTACAAGTGTTTGTGACAGCAGACCTCTCCCAAAGAGAAACACAACCTGTGCTCTGCTCCCAGGACTTCATTGTTAGGATTTTAGAGGAAGTCAGGGGCTCTTAGAAGGTCTTAATTAAATCACAGCAGACTGTGAACTTTTCCTGAGAAAGGTAGCCCTCAGTTCTTACAGCACTTAGCAGAGAAAGTTTATGACTATATTTGGCATTATTTGGGTCTGGGTGTCTTTCTCGGGGAAATACTTCTCTTCACATACGTTCACCAGTGCTTCTAACAGCAGTGTCAGCACATACTGAAAAACTAAGCCTGATGTTAAATGGCTGAACTTCAGCTTCCTAATTGCTGAATCCTGAGCTAGTGGGGCATGTGGGACAGGATACAGTGAGGGCAAATTCTGCTGAGGCTGCACAGTGGCCCTGCTCAGGCTGTGCTGTTGCCTCTAGTACAGCTGTTGGTTGCAGTTTGTTTAGGGCATCATGGGAACATGACACCCCCAGACATCACATGCTGAAACCTATTTTAATTTTTATTGGTTTGATATGAATTCAGAAATGAGGAAGTGCTCATCTAGCCTTGTTGAAAACTGTGCTGACACTGACTCTTGCTGTCTTGTTGATGGGGTATTTTCAGTTCTACGGTTTCTCAATTCTGGCAAAATACAGGGGGCACGAAGGTTTGCATTTGCAGGCACTCCTATTATTTCTGGGGAAGTTTTTCAGGTTATGCAATGGCTGTGCTAAGAACACAGCTTATTCTATGGAAATCATAGAATTATTAAGGTTGGAAAAAATCTCTGAGATTGAGTCCAACCATTGACCTAACACTGCGAAGTTCACCACTAAACCATGTCTGTAAACACCACATCTACAAGTTTTTTGAACACTTCCAGGAATGATGATCCCACCATTTCCCTGGGCAGCCTATTCCAATGCTTGACCACCCTTTCAGTGAAGAAATTTTTCCTGGTATCCAATCTAAACCTCCCCTGGTTCAATTTGAGGCTGTTTCCTCCTGTCCCATTGCATGTTGCCTGGGAGAAGAAATCAACCCCCACCAGCCTCCTTTAAGGTAGCTGTAGAGAGCAGTAAGGTCTTCCCTGAGCCTCCTTTTCTGTAGATGAAACATCCTTGCTCAGAATGTCTCTGTACAAGCCAGCTTGGGTCTGGCAGGGTGTAGTCACCATCCAGGGTGCAGTGACCACCCTGCTGCTTCATCCCTCTTGTCTGGCCTGTGATATCACACCATGCTGTGCTGTGTGCAATAAGCAGCTGGGAATCTGCGCCACACGGTTGAAGTCAGTGACCTTATGTATTATCAAAGCTCAGTTGACATTTCAATTGCTTCTGTTTATTTCAACCACATACCTACATTGTCTTGAAACATTTCAAGTTTCTTACTTTAAAAGCTGATGTTTCCAAAGCATTTATGAATTCATCAGTGACTTTGAACTTGTATCCAAGCAGATTCTTGCAGGTAAAAAGACAGGGAAGTCATTGTCTGCCTGAGATTGCTAAGGTGATACCTGAATGAGACAGCAGCTGTGCACTGTGCTGCTGAAGGACAAGTGCAGCCGTGGCTGTGCAGAGCTCTTGTGCAGTGAAACAGGCAAGAACAGAAGATGAGTACCAGCAAACTTTTTGTGGGTCAGAAGTGGGCAAAAGGAGTTGTATGGTGAATATGGAGGACAGCGGGCATTTAGAAGGAAGATGAGAATTTTTCTGGAGCTCTGTAGATCAGGAAGAGCTGGAACATTACTCCACCTAGTGAGGGGCTCACTGAGAGATGCCAGAGATCAAGGCAGTGAGCTTTTTGAGGGGGAAATGGCATAACAAAAACCACATAAGCTGTATCATTCTCCCTCCTGTTCATGTCAGAGAATTTAAATTCCTGGCTCTCTTCTGTTGTGCTGATGAAACCACAAATGAAACTTGAGAGCATATCACAGAATCATTCAGGTTGGAAGGCACCTTTTGAGATTATCTAGTCTAACCTTTCTGCTCAAGCATGGTCAGATAAAGCAGGTTGCCTGAGACCATGTCCAGTTGGGTTTTGAATCTCTCTGCAGCTGGGGACTCTGCAGGACTTCACAACCTCTCTGAGCAGCCTATTCCAGCGTTTGACCACCCTCAAGAGTAACTAAGTGTTTTCTTGTGTTCAGATGGAACTTCATGTGTTTTAGCTCGTGCACATTGCCTCTTTTCCTGTCAGTGGGCACTATGGAGAAGAGTCCATGTACCTCTTTTTCACTCTCTCCTGTCTTATCAATATAAGATCCCTCTGAGTCTTCTTTTTTCCAGGCTGAAGAGTTCCAGCTCTTGTAGCCTCTCCTCTTATGAAATATCCTGTGGTCCCGTAATCATCTTTGTGGTCCTGTGCTGGACTCAAGCTGTAAAGATAAAGCGACCTTGTAATAGGCTACTCGGAATTTAAGGTCAGGTTGGACAGATCCATAAGATGTTCTCAAGTGTGTCTCAGCCCAGAGGGATGAAGTTGTAGTATGCAGGAGATTCTCTTCAGCCTGACACTTCTGTAATTATTTGATTGCTAACTTTTGCTAATAGCTGCCATTTAGGGCTAGAGACCTAAATTCACAAGGAATTTTTAAGTTTGGCAGGAACTACCATTTGATGTTTACTTCTGTCTCTTAGTGCTC